GATGATCCGCCGCTATTCAGTTCTCCGTTCAAATTATTGAGATCCTTGCTCGGTCTATGACTGAGTAACATAGCATTACCCATTCTGCTGTGCATTTGCTTCTCCTGCTTATTAGCCTCTTTGAATATTGCAAAGTATGTGACCATCATAATGGTACATGGTATCCAGAAGGATATACTCGATGAAAGTATGGCGTATATTCTGTTGACTTTGAACTCGCATAGTTCCGGATGTTTGTGCCTGTGCACACTGTTCTCTTCCGTAGTGTACCAACCGCAGAAAATTGGCACGAAGGAAATAATGGCTGGCGCTAGCCAGCAAGCGAGCAGCATAAATGCTACCACTCTTTTCGTCATGTTAATGGGATATTTGAGCGGCTTCACGATTGCATAATATCGATCCACTGAGATACACATTAGATGAAGTATCGAACTGGTGCTAAAATATACATCCAGGGAATTCCAGACGTCGCACATGAAGTAGCCGAAGAGCCACCTGCCAGTTATCTGGACGCTGGCATTGAAGGTCATTGCAAACATCGCTACAAGCATGTCGGCCAATGCTAGCGAGACCACGAAGTAGTTCGTTATGATACGTAGTTTTCTGTGTCGTATCACGGACACCATTACAAGGAGATTACCGAACAAAGCCGTGGTGATGATTGAACCAAGGATGCAGACTTTCAGGATGGCTGATGACACGTCCGGCCAATTGATCTCCACAACGTTTACTTCAGTGTTATTGGCGTAAGGATCCTCTTCAGTCGAAGTGACATCCAGCATTGATGTCATGTCGAACGAAGAGATCTCCGCTGGGTCGAATGTCGTTTTTGCGGTCATCCTCACTCAGTGACGGTTCTTGCCGTCACCGAGCGTCGACCACTCGTTGGTCTATCCTCTCGGTCAAACGGAAGAGTTCCGAAAAGGTGACTTTTTTAAGTGACGGAAGTCCCGATCAATCGACGCGCAAGGCAGACATTCATTTTTGATTCGAGAGAAAGAATGTTTCTTTTTTACACATTT